TTAATATCATATTTTTTTAATGTAATTATCTATTATATCCTTACATTACATTTTGTCTTAAAAATTTACTTATTTTTATTTTTTAATAAATTAAAAAATATAATAATCAATTAAAATAAAAATGTGATATTAGTAATTTAAAGTATAGTAATAACATCACCCATAATTTATATTTAAAAATTAAAATTTTATTTTAAAATTAAAAAATTCACTCTATTAAATGTTAATATTTACATTTAAAAACTGATTATATATTTTAATATAAATATTAGTGCTTTTTTACTCTCAAAAATAATTAGTCTCAACTTATGATTAGAAACTTAAATCTCACCTTTTTAAATATTGATATCTAAATTTAAAAACTTCGTATACATTCTAATATATCAACATAATTTTTAAAATTTTAAATTTTAAATTGAATTTTAATTAAATAAAACATATAATTTAAAGTTGAGAATTCAGTTATTTTTGCAATCACCCACCATCGCCTAGCTTTCTTCAACCTCACCAAAAACTTCTATTGATAAGCTTGAAAGCAGTATAGTTATTCGTTAATAACATAGAAAAATATATGCACAACAAACTTTCCCCAACAAAATTGAGGCAGCAGTTCCTGAATAGAACCCCATCTTTGTTTTTCTCACTTACCAAAAAAATAGTATGCGTTCTTGTTCGACAAATTTATCATGCATGTCAGACATGGAAGGAGGGCTAGTATCAACTTATCATTTTTCTGAGTCTCCTTTCAGCGCTGGCTGCAAACTTGTTTTGTGGCTCAAGAACAAGAGCATGTTTAAAATCTGCAAATATCAACACAATAAATAGCAGCAAGAGAGGAATATTACATGATAGAATATGTATCGATTAGCATTTACCAAACTAAGATGCACGGCCAAACAGCTATTATATGTATATATAGATTCTATTCTCTCTCTGCATGCTCAGTACCAAGAAAATATTTAATAGAAGTTCCATTGCCAATTAAACCTTCCTCAGTCAAAGGGATGTTTTAAAGCACCAAAAGTTCAAGATGGATTACCAAAATAAAAATATGGCAAGCATTGTGCTTGTTCCCACAGATTTAAAAAGTTTAAACATTAGATTCCGCTATGAAGATTCGTAGTAATCCAGCATTTCAATATGTCCATCTTCCTTTTGGTTAAAAGTTTTTGTTGGGTTGAAGTTAGTTTCAAACAATCTTAAGCTCTCAGGCTTCCAACTGTCTGGAACTCAACAAGGATCTTCTTATAAATGAAGAAAAACATAACCAACCACACATTAAATTAATAGGATAGGACAACAACCACATATTAAATTAATAGGATAGGACAAAAAACAGAACTTGGGATCTACAACCATTCTTGCATAAATTTGTGTTATTGATCAATAACTTAATCTGGCCAGCAAAAAACTGAATCTCACCAGCATGCAGGCCATAATAACTGCATGCAATAAGAATACTCACCTTCGTTAGCCTCTTTGTTGCGGAGTAGTGCCTCTCTAGCTGTACCACGTCTCATATATGCCTTCACATTCTGCACAAAAACATTGGTTGATCAATAATGACAGTCATGCAGATTACTGCATGGTTCCCGGGCATGCATACTTATTTCACATTTGGCTGCCAAATAAAAGAAACACATGCAAAAACAGTCGGCAGTAGGAAATTGGTCAACTTATTCCTTTTGCCTTCTAATAACATGCACTTCATAGAAAAGGCCTTCCATAAGAAAAGCTAAAATTATAGGAATAGCAGATTGGCTACTTGCCAATCAATTTGGAGAAGACAGGAGATCAATCAAGCAGTATGTCAAAAAATTTATCAAAGGCTATCTGTTCATCTACTCTGTAGGTCACTCTCCTCTTTCATTTTTTTCTCTCATTGTAATTGCTCAAATTCTTTCAAATTTCAATTGAAAGACAGCCACTGAATATTGTTGGTAAAATAAATTAAAAATAAGCCAAAATAGCAAGGACTTTAACCCCCTTCCAAGGCATCCCTGGCTACTTAAAGGGAAAAAAAGGCTGGGCAATGACAACAATGATGATATGTGTTATGTTCACAACTACATAATTAAAATTCAAATGGTCAATGCTATAAAACAAAGGATAACAGAATGCGTCAAATGCTGTAATAGAATGAACCTGAAAACAGTAGAAGTTATCTCATATAACCGTCAATATCACAAGTTTGTTCCTTTACCTTCTTGTCCAGTGATATTGCCTTGCTACAATCCTCTTCAGCTTGTTGAAAGCTGCATATGTAAACTTGTTTTTTTCAGAGAAGCTCTTGGACACAGAAATGCAATTATAAGAGTCTTCTAAATACCACAAGATACTATACCATCCTAATTCTAAGTAAGCTGCTGCCCGATTGCAATAGTAAGTTCCATTTGTCCCATTTAATTTGATAGCTTCACTGTAGTAATTCACAGCCTTATTCCACTGCTTTCCTTTAAATGCAGCATTCCCCTGCAACAACATTTGTCTTATGAAAAGGCTAGAAAGAACATAGGGCTTCAATATTCCTATATTCATTTTTTCTTTTCTTAAAAAAAAAAAAATTATAAACAATAGATCCTGATACAGCCATGGATAAAAGAATACTAATGCAAGTAAAGTAAATGTATCCCACTTTGAAAATATACAAATGCTTAAGTACAATAGCATACCTAAAATGCTAAATCATAAACTGATAAATGCTTCATCTAAGAAATGGCCCTCTAAAACTAAAACAAATTTATGACCAAAGTTTTGCCTACTCAATGCATATATAAATTGAAAAAGTTGCCACCTAATGCAAGCATGCATCAGAATGGATGCTATTGCTCAAAAGCTTAAGAAGAAAAAGCAGAAGGAAAATTTGCAGGGGAAAAAAAAAAAAAAAGAAACAAGCAATTATAAACAGATTAGATGCTTAATTACTTCTATCTCTTCAAGATTCTCCATTATGTGCATGGAAACAATACAATATCCAGGATTTCAAGTTATTCATCAACTACATGTGATAGAGAATTAACTCATAAAACCAGAAGCAATGTTGTCGCAGAATACTTCAATATTTTTTAAGGAATAAAGAGCATGCACAATCCATGACTCACAAAAGGACAAATCTTGACACTAGGACAAACTTCATTTTTTCAACTTAGAACTAGAAAGTCAAAAGACAAAAGTAAATGGGGACAAGGATCCACTTTAAGATCCACAAGCCAACACATCTACCATTACAAAAATCAAAAAAATATTTTCTAGACAAACCTTTTCCTTCAAGAGCTCTGAAGCATCCATATTACCATTGACATCTTGCATTGCCACGGAATTGGATGATATTTCAACTTGCTCTTGAAGAGATGAGTACATATCCAAAATTGTATCGAGAAGAAACTTATCCCCTCCATGGTATGAGATAAATGAAACAGAGATAGGACAATTCTCATGCCTTCCTAATGGAACTGTAACCTGAGAAGTTTTGTAAAGTTAATACATGAACAATTTACCAAAATGCATAATGGGAAAAAGTAATGAAAAACTTAAAGTCCAAGAGCATGAGGTGACCTGACAGCACCCTGACATGCTCGCAACGCTGGATAATGTATATGTCCTGTCATGAAACTCGGTAGAATACCCTTTCTTGGAATTAAGTTTCAATGGAGGATCTGCAACTGTTGGAATGACTAATATTCCATCATCCTGGACAGAAAAATAAAAGGGTTAAAAAGGAGACTAGGAACTAAAGCACAGAACATGTGTAAGAATGATTTTGTAAGAATACAACTCCAAAAGCCTGTATGCAAACCAATAATCCCTAACTCAAGGCTCTGAATGTGAAATCCTGAATTAAATACATAGCATGTCAACTTTCATCCATTTGCACAGACCCAACAAGTAAAAAGGAAATCCTACTCTCCAAATAAAGAAAATGAATGTATAAGCTATTTTGTTTAATGAAAGACAAAGGATACCTAACCTAACCACAATTAATTGTAAAGCATTCTGAAAAAGAAACCCTGCAGTAGTTATTGCAATTCTCTCCTGAGCTAAACAAGCTCGTATGGAGATTATTTCCAGAGAAAAACTGTCCTCACGGCACACTCAGGGCAGAAGAAAACATAAATTACTAATCTAATTCTTGCCACTATATGAATGGTATGGTCTCCAATAGAAAAGAGTTTAAATTGCAAACTGGACATAGTTCTTTCTTTCAATGATAAAAAAGAGCATAGAAAAATCATGTAATTGCCATTAGTAATAGATAACAATTTGCTAAACATTTGAGCAATAGTTTCAAACCATTCTGGCACTACAACAGAGGATGACTATAAGATTATAAACTCTCATAACAAATCTAGACATAATCACAAGAAGTATGACCCAAAAAAAATTAAAAAAAAAAAAAACCAGAGGCATGTAATGAGTTTGCAACCAAGACTGGAAGAAAATGAAGACCAGTAAGAAAAAGAAGTTGTGTAAACCTTCAGAAGGCTTTGAAGGGCAGCTCGCATCTCAGTCTTGACTTTGTATAAAGTTTTCATGTTCTCATTTTCTGAGTTGATTGCTGAAAGAACACGTTCTAAAACATCAGGTGCTAATCTGGGTTTGACTGATTTAACCCATGCCTCATAATTTGTTTTGAATTCACAACTGCAAGGTAAATACAGACCGATTTACTCTCTAGCACAAAACCAAGGGAATCTGAAGCACAAAAGGTTGCAATAATATCCAACTTCAGGGATTCTATTTAAAATCCAATCATTCTTAGATACCTTTGTAGTGACAGCATCACAGATGAGAGAGCTTTTAAAGTGGTTGTTCCAATTTGCAGGTTTGAAGATTGTTCATGGAAACTTTTTAAACTAAGTACATTTGAAGCGACATACTGACCAATATTTTTATGCTGCGGAGATTGATCTGCAAAATCAACAGAACAAAGAAGCAGCTTCAACAAGATCTGTCATTAATATTGCTTTTTTACCGTGGAAAAAAAAATGATTTGAGATTCAACAGCAAACAAATGAAACTAATATGGAGAATGTAAAGCCCATCAGCTTACACCCAGATAGCTTTTCAATTGCTTTGCTAACAACATAAACTGTCTTCTGCTTGGGAACCTTTGAAAGCTGAAAAAGATCATCAGCAAATATAAGGCGTCTTGTTCTTCTAGGTTCCACTGCATTTAGTTGAACCAGAACATGTCCAACACGATGTAAAATATGAGGATCACGAGCAAAACACCCTGAAAACAAGATCATAGAGTGATGAACTTTAAATCAGGGAAGTAACAAAAGGAATTTTAAAGCAGAGAAAAAAGACCCCATATATCATTTATTCATAATTAAAAACCATGAATTCAAGTGCACCAACCATACAAAAAATTAGATATCACAAAGCAAATCTAGAGTTATAATTCACAGTGGATAGAGATGCTGAAAGCTACTCATCTGCCTGCAAGGTCATTCAAACAAATTATTTGAACAATATAGATGGCAGTGCCACTTTGCAAGAGGTTATTGATAGGCATATACTATACCAACAGTGTCTAGACTTTGTGAATTTGGCAGCACTCCAAATGTAGAAACAGCTCCATGAGATGGTCGGAATCCAAGAATACCACAAAATGATGCAGGAATTCTCACACAGCCAACTGTATCAGTACCTACAAAATTATAAAAGCCTCTTATTTTTGGATGGCAATTGCATCCCCAAATTTTAGGTCTTAGGTGAAGCCCTTGTGCAGCTAGAAAAGGAAGACAAGTGAAATGAAAGTCAAGCTAGAGACGCTAAGCTACCATCAAATATTTGTGGTTTTTAATAATTTCATATGAAAGAAATACTCAGAATTATCATAAAAAACTAAAATAATTCAAATACAGGAAAATCTATTGACTTTTACATCCAGATCATTCTTTGTTTAAAAGAGAAGACAATAAATGCTTCCTTAATAGCACAATCAATTGTACAAATATCTTTAAAGCATCTATTAGTAGTACCTGTTTGTAATAAAAGATACATGAAAGCAGCAGCATGATTATGGAAGATGAGTTTCCAAACTTGTCCATGATTCCCAAAATCCCAAACTTGTGGGCCACCAGTAAAAATTAAACTTTGAAAAAACTTATCTAAGAGATTAACCCTCCAACTATTACCTATCTTGAAATCAAGACTCCATTTTGTCTGGCTACTCTTTTTGTACTCAACTTACATTCATATTATTTCCTTGACATTGCACGAATTGACCAACAACCTCTTAGCAACATAAGAATTTTAGATGAAAAATTCTTTGGTTGCATTTGACCATCCAGAAACTTGGATTTAATACTATGATCCTCCTTTTATCAGAATGAAATACAGGCAAGAAAAGAAGGGCAACAGCTAAGATCAAGAAGCATGTACACTAGAAGCAACAAGAGCTGTTCAGCAGCAAATCACCTCAAGATGAGATCATGAAGACCACCCTAAAGTTGAATTTTCTATTGTAGTTCATTAACTAGACAGAAGGTTAAAGAGGACGCTATCCTGTGAGTAGCTAATTTCACAGCCAAAGCTAATAACTGTTCCTCTTTGAAGAAAGAAAGAATTTGAGAAGAATATGCCTGAGAAAAAAAAATGCAGCTGTCAAATGCAAAACCTAACAGCCTAAGCGTTGATTCTTCATTGGATTTCAAGAAAGTTCAGGAACTGAAGCCACGATTAAATGCAAGAAGGGAGGTAACTGGACCAAATGGATGAAGAGAATAAAAAAGGCAAGAATTGACCGAAATGAGGAAGAAAAAATTCCATACTATCAATTATTTATAAATTACAATGTTGAGTTGACGCTCAAGTAAAACAATATGTTCAAGAGGAAGGAAATACCATAAAAACATGAACTTAAGTAATAATAAATGATGTTTTTTTAAATTTGAATGACAAAGAGAATAAGGGAGAATGAAATCAACAAAGAAGAATGCCCTTGAAACTTGCTGGAAATTGGATTTCCTCGGTATTGGCAACAAGATCTTAAAGCACATTCCATAAACAACCAGGAGTTTAGATAAATAATCAATAAAAATAAAAAGAAAAGAACAAACAAATTTCTAAGAACTATTGAACAGAACCTGCAAGAGTGATAGGGGAAAACTAGTGATTCAAAAATGTAAATAACTGCGCTTACCAAGGGCAAAATCCACAAGCTCAGCTGCAACTGCAACAGCTGAACCACTAGAAGAACCCCCTGCAATATGTGATGGCATATTTGGATTTATGGGGTTTCCATAATGCTTGTTTTCTCCAGTTATCCTGACAATGAGTGGAGAATCAATTTTATCAACTCTTTTGAACATGTTTTTGCAACAGAGATGCACAGAGAGAAAAGGAGAAGATAGACTCAAAAGGTTTCCAATTAGAATGGCTTTCAAATACGTAATTTGGTTTAGATATCAAAAAATCTTGAGGTTTCGATTCTGGGGCTTTTAACCCAAATCAACCGCATAAAAAAAGAATAATATTTTTACCCATATGCCAATTCGTCCATAACTGTCTTCCCAACACATTTAGCCCCATTCTTCAAAAGAGCAGTCACAGCCACTGCAGTCTTCTCAGCAGGCTCATGCGCGCTCTGCCAGTCCGGATTCCCAAACCCCGTCACGTAATCCTTGACATCAAATCTGGCAAAAACACCCACATCTCAAAAACAAAATGGGGGGGAACCAGGACCGCTCAAATTGTAAACATAAGCATATTCAAAAAAAACACTAACATATCCTTTACAGCAAAGGTCACCCCAGCGAGAGGCTGTCTGGCGGCGGGAGGCGGCGGCTGAGGAAGAGGAAGCAACTCAAAGCGCTCCAAAAAGGCACCAAAGTCCTCTCTTTTGATGATCATTGCTCTCCTCCTCCTCCTCCTCCTGGTCTCGGCCAAAACCAATAGCCCTGCCACGCTCACTCCAAGCAAGACCCAGACCTTTGGATTCGACGAATTGGTTTTGATCAGATTCAGCGCCTTTGACATGGTGGGATCCGACTAAAGATTGGGACTTTGGAGATGAAGGAAATTGGGGAAAGGGGGTTTTGGAAGGGTTTTAGGGGAGAAGAAGAAACAGAGGCGGGGAGGTCTTGATCGGAGTATCAAGGGCGAAACCGTCACGTGTTAATGCTACTTCGTTGCGTGGGAGCAAAGATTAAACAATTCCGCGCGTGAATTAACGCACGGTAAGTCCCTTGAAAAATATATAAATGCAATAGAAGTTCATCCGATTTTCCTAATGAAAAATGATACTTAATTTTTGTGTATAATTTTTGAAACAATTGCACAATGAGGCATAATATTTTTTTTTTTTACTTTGTTTCATTAATATATCATGTGACTTTTAGACATTTAATAAAAAAATTATTATTTAATGTAAATAATCTCAAATTAATTTTTTTTATCAAGTG